ACAAAAAAAAAAATTACAGCGGCATTTTCCTACGTTTTCACGCATTTGTTGAGTCTAGTTTTGTAAATGTAACCGTATATTGTATAACTGTATTGTGTATATTTTTCGGTAAGTAAATTTTATAAGTTATTATAATTTTTCATATTTTGAAAAATTAGTACATCACATTTCTTTAATTGGCTTATAACTTGTATCAATTATACAGCTCTTTATTTATAGTTTGATTTTCTCTCCCTATGAATTTCGTTGCGTATATCTTACAACAACAACAACACCCATTATTGGTTAATTTTTGGATGTGCGCCGTACCAAATAGTAACCCAAAAGCAGAAACATAAACAAAAAAACTTTAAAATAATGTTATCAACACTGTTTTGTTTACCGAATGCCAAATTACCAAACTTTTTCGTTTTTCTCAAAATCAGTCAACCGTTATAACCGTTAATGAGTCAAAAATAAACGCTCGGTTTGTATTTGAATTCTTCTATTCAAATGATTTATTACTTAGAAGTACATTTTGCAAAACATTGTATTGTAATATTTTTAATTTAATTCTGATTTGTTTATTTACAGGTGTTTGTGTGCTAATTTTCACAGTAAAAAAAATAAAATAAAAAAAAAATATGTATCCCAGATTATTTGAACTTCTTGAACGCCAACCGCTCACGTACAAAGTATTAAATTATTATTATTAATTATCATTGTATTATTATATTTTAGTAAACAAAATTTTTATTTAAAAATTTAGTGTATAATTTTGTAAGAGATTGTGTAAGACTTGTTTATATTTTTTTCCGTCAATGAAGGTATGAAAACATTGCAAAGCATTAAGGCAACAGCAAAAATAAGACAAGTCATTCATAAGCCATTCATCTATCACTTATCGTCAACCTAACAACAAGAAAGTCGTGAAGTTCAATGTAGAGCCGATATTAGCAGAAAAAAAATAATAATGTAGGAACATATTTAAAATGAAATAATTTAAAAGATTGATCTTTTTTCCATAAATAAGCGCTCGCATTTCGGCTCTGCATTAATGTAAAAATTTCAATTAATTTTGTATCTGCATTTACATATTTCATTTCTAGATACACAAATAACCATTGTAACCATTTTTCTCTTTGTAAATTTTATCTAACTTCTTGTAATTTTAAGTTGAAAATGCTACATCATTACACTTATTATTGTAATTAATGGCTTAAAAGCTTGAGACGGATGCCAGGTTAGAATGCGATTAAAAAGCGCTAAAATTCCAACAAAACTAAATAACACTTTAGAACAAAAGTTGTTAATTGCCAAATTACACAAAAAACAACGATTAAAAAGTGTTTATGCATATTTGAAAAATTTCGAGACTATGCCAGTGCATAAGCTAAAATTTAAAAAATTTTAATTTTACTACACTGACAGCGGCATTGGCGCGAGACCGTCGCATTTTTCGTCTTTCAAAAAAAAAAAAATAAAAAATTATATTCGTTATTAGTTCTATCAAACGATTTTTTTATTATTTGGCAGCACCCGATTGAGATTAGAACTGTTTTTTTCGCAAACAGTTTAAAGCTTTTAAGTTATGCTCTTAGCTAACTATGTATTTTTAAGCACAAGATAATTGTATTATTTCGATTCGTTAGACTGCTTGAACTGACATTGTACTATATAATTAATTATTATATTTATAGTGTGACTTATTTTATGCGTGAATTGTACTTGATTTTTAGGCGAAAATAATTATTTTGTTATTTTTCGTCAGCATTCGTTTCGGAGCGTTTGGGTGAAATTTTTTTTTTTTTTTTGTTTGAGTTCAGTTTTTATTTATATTTCGCGGAAATTATAGCAAATATGTACATAGCTTTTATTTTTATCTTTTTTATATGGTATTTTCTATTTTGCGTTTATTTTTTGTTTAGTATTGAGTTTTAAAAAGTAAATAATATTTACTATGTATAAATATAGTTTATTTGTGTTGTCTAAAATACAGCCAGCTTAAGAATTTTATTTTTCATATTGCATAATTCGTTATATTTTTCTTATTTAAATGCGCTCTTCTTAGTAAGAATTTTGCAATTATTTATTGTTATATTGGGTGTACTTTATATTTTATGGCAAATATTGTTTAACCTATTTTTATTTATATTTGCCATAATAAAT